CAAACAACACGCTTTAATTAACAGACCGAGATAGAAGATAATTGTTCTATCAGCTTTTTCTTTCCTCCATATCATCCTGTTTTTACATCGACAAAATAGTTAAAAAAATATTTCGCATGTAACCTAATCATAAATTATAAAATATAAAATATAAAAAAAAAAAAAAATAAAATCATTGTAAAATTCTATAATTTATTAAACGATATATATATATATATATATATATATATAATTAATAAATAAATTTTTAATGGTAATATTTATAAAATTAAAATGTTATATATGTGTGTGCGCGTGCATGTGTAAAATAAGTGATTTATATTAATAAAAAAAAAAATTATTATAATTTAATTATAATAACTTCTTAATTATTTTAATTTAATATATAAATTAGGATAAAAAGAAGGCCTTCATAACCGATGGACGATTTTTCACATGATATTAAATAAAATAATTATAATAAAATAATATTTTTATTAATTCATTAAATAATATAATATTAAATAATTATTCGATTATATTGAATACTCCGATATCCTTTTTATCTTATATAATATTTGTCCTAGAAATTTATTCATGTCACCGATAGAGGACACGAGATTAAACTATCTTCCCATCGTCCTTGAATAACGCAATGTTGCTGCTCCACTTTCGTTTACGAGTCTCCTGACAAATTTCATTTAAAAAAATACGAACGGCGCGCGTGTGTCCTTAAAATAAAAAAGAAAGGAAAAATAAAAAAATCTTGACTTATATGTACATATGTTCATGTACTTACTATAATTATATTCAAATATGTTCTTTCTAAATGATTATTTTTAATATAATGCGAAGAAATAATATAAAAAAATAATTATTTTTAATCTAATATAAAAATTATTCGATGCATAAGCATTAGAGAAAATTATTCATTAAAGAAAAGATTCAAGAAAATAATATAATAATATTATAATATTAATCTTTTTCAATTTAAATGAAGTAAATATTTTTACAGTATGAAAAAAATATTTAGAAAAAAAATTATAATTTCCAATAAAAATCTAATCATAAATATTTGACGCATATACATTAGAAAATTATTATTAAAAGTTTATTGTAAAAGAAAAAAAAAAAAAAGATCGAATACTCTAATATCCATAATAATCCTATAATTATAGAATTAATAGGAGAACTGATTATTATTAAAAGATTTCTAAATAATAAAAATTTATTACAAAGAAAATTCAAGTGCGATCATTAATGTCTCGATAATAATCCTATTAATTGATGAGAGCAATAAGATATTATTATTAAAAATTTCTCAACAAAATAAAAAATTACAAGAAAATAAAAAGAAATAAAAAAATTGCATAAAAAAGTTTTATAATTTAAAAAATAAATTAATCAGAAAATTATCAAGAATGAGTTTATTCATTTTCGATATCATCTAGGAACTTATGACTCATCCTATATCTTTATCATATATATGTATAATCTCTATAATTATTAATTTAAAATCAATGGATATTAAAGCGTATTAAATACAATAATTATCATAAATCTAATGAATCTAACGGTAAACGAGGAACTTTTGGTACATCTTGTACTTCGATCATATTTATACGTATGTATATATATATATATATATATATACATGTATATATGTACTTGTAAAGTACATATATACGTATAATCTCATAATTATTAATTTAAAATCAATTGTGATATTAAAGCATATTAAATCATAATTCACATAAATCTTTGATGAATCCTAACGGTCAAGAAAATGAAATATCTATTAATAACAATAACAATGATGATAATGATAATAATAATAACAATAGAAACAAGATTCGTAAAATGACAGCTTGTTGATATGGGTTAGGAGTATCTCATACGACAATGACAATGACAATGATGTTAATGATAATGATGATGATGATGATGATGATGCATGGAATACTCTTGGTACTGTTATCTCTCTAACGTGCTAACTTATTATTATGCGTTTCAGTATCTACCAAGTGATTCTTGTCTTTTTTTTTTATTCTACCTCTCTCTTTTTCATTCTCTCTCTCTCTCTCTCTCTCTCTCTCTCTCTCTCTCTCTCTTTCTCTCATTCTCCATCTTTAAAATACGATGCGTTTTGCATTAAAAGTGAGAACGTCTGTAGAACGATCGTGACTGATTATAAAAACGTGTCAACGTTCAATGAGATGTTAATAAGTGACCAAGCTAAGTCATCGACACTTGTGAGACAATTATAGTAACGCCTATTTTGTGTGTATATATATATATATATATATATATATATATATATATATATATATATAAGTATATATACATACGTGCGTGTGTGTGTATGTATATATAACTTGTAGGTGAAATTTACATAATAATAAAAGGATGAGTTTTTGAGTTCATGAGTTCTTAAGTTGACATCCTTTTTCGATCTCTTGAAATTTTTTTAATACCGATTTTGTTTTAGACATTTTTTTAATACTTTCTAATATCGATTTTCAACTTTATTTTTTACACACACACACTCATATATATCTATAAACAAGGAATGACTAAAAATAATTTTTTTCCTTTTAGAAAATTATAATAATTAATTAAGTGGATTAATATTTTTTCAGAACTAGTTTCAACCGTTAAGAAATATTTTGTTAATTAGTCGTTGTAATTAATATAAATTTATGTTACGATTAAACCGATTAGAAATATGACAGATCGCAAATTAA